GACAGCAACCGTACAGATAAGGAACTATTTCAAAGCCTCGAGCTAGGTGATGTTTGGATCGAAAGCTCGGTGCACAGTGTGTTTCTTTATCTCTATGGATCCAAGCACTGTACGACTCTTATCTGAATTTGCCCCATCCGACAACTAGGCCCAGCCCGAAAACATAGATTTGTGCCCACATCAACCCCACAAGGAAGAAGCTTGCATACTTCATGTAGCTACTTCTCCTTCTACACTTAGAACATAATGCGCGAGGTTGATCAGAAAAGTTGCCTACATGCAAACCCCCCAAACCCTGGCAGCTGATGAAGTCTCCCAAGCTAAGCTAGATGAATGCCAAGGATTCCGGACAGCTGGTGCGACACCATGAACCAGTTCAAAAACGAGTTGCTCCAGTCGGCACCCTTGCCACAGATTAATTCAGTTCATAGAAACTTTAATAGTATACCCCCTTGTGCATGGTTTTTTGGATCTAGGCTGGGGAAGAAGGGTTGCTGGAAACAAAAAGTGAATATTAATGGATGGGAGATCTGTTTGGTTTGTTGCTAGAATGTTTGGGACAGGTCTGCTCCAGGCACTTCAGTCGATTGTTGGTTATTAGTCTCCATATGTATAGCCTCCGGAAAGTGGTATATTTGTTTCTAGCTAGGATGGGAGGAGCAAAACCTATATACTTGTGGTAGATAATAGCATGCTGGAAGGGATTTGGGGATGCTATAGGTCCACCTAATCACTTCACAAATATAGGGTGCTGAAAACATAGATTTGGGATAGCTGCTGGCTAGATATTCATCAATCGAAACAGGCAGATCCTGATGAAGTTCCTGTATCGAATGCCCTCTTCCTAGCCAATGCCTAGGGCTATAGTGACTCCACAACCTAGCCCCTCTAGATCCTTTATAATACCTTTTCCAGTATACCTCCCCTGGCCTGACTCGACCCCCCCCTAGGTAGAAGCTCTTTAAAAGCCTTAAGCCCCCAAGACTGCAGGCATGTGCTTCTGAGCATCTGCGCAGACAGCTGTCTGAATTGCAGAGTTCCATCCAGCAAAGCTGATATTTCGAGCTGTTTTAGCTGATTGCGGGCATTTTCGGCAGGGCAAGCTAGTAGTACCATGGGGAGGCCGCAATTCGGGCGCAATTACCCGCACTAAACGCGCGCAATTCTAAAAAGTGTCCTTTTTACGAGCAGTTTCCCCATAAACCGTTCACATTCCCTGGAATCTAGCCTGAAGTCTGCATAATTAGGAGAAGCTGCACTGGCAGCTAGCTAGACAGGGGGAAAATTGGCAGTGTCGTTGCAATTGATGCACAACTTGGGTAGCTGTCTTGCAAGGATAGTCTCGACAAATGATTGCATATGGAGCCTTGTTCAAGTCAGCCTCTATAGAGAGCTTCATGACATCTCGTTTGTGGTCTTGCGAGACCTTGGCCAAAGGGGTTACGATGGTTGCCCAGACGGAACAGAAGCAGGAAGCCACCCTTGATGAGAAGATCCAAGTGATTTGTCTATGCAAGTGGACTGATGAGGTTCTGCCTTTCAACTCTTAAGAAACCAGACTATGGAGCACCCAAGGCTTCTATGCAGCGAATTGCTGCGATCCAGGCGCAAATGCAGCGGCTTCCCAGCCAAGTTGTGCCACCTCCGCCTCCAGGCAGAGCTATTGATATCAACGCTGGGAGACACAAGTCAAATCAAGAAGTCTTAACCTAGATGCTGTAGCACATACTCTTTAGCTTCCATGTCCTCTGAACAATTTGAACTTTAAAGGCTCAACCTATTGATATGTTCTGGGGTGGGGGGTTCATGAAAGTTGGGGTTTTGTGATTGCCTATTATATAGGTTGCTGGCTTCAGGGCATATACTTAAACGTCAGGGGTTAATACAATATCTGCTGCGCCTAGATAAGGTTGGGCAACTTCTACATGTGGTCCATTCCAGGCGATCAATCCTACCCTATATGATCCTTTGCGCAGGTGCCCCCGCCGCGACGATTGGGATTACAACTGAAGGTTCTGCTCCTGTGGCTGGCAAGCATGCACGTGACCTCAAAGCTTTCCGCCCCAGCAGTCAAGACGGCCAATACCAGCCCTGGGGCCCTGGAACTGCAACGCTGGAACTGCAAAGCCCAACTTCCTTCGCAGAGAAACCCATGACCCCCGCATCCCCAGGTTTCATTATAAGGAATGATTCTTTTGTGGCCCCAACAGTCGCCGAGCCTGCAGAAGCAGCACCGGTGGTCAGCCCTCGGCCGAGCCACAAGAAGAAGAGTCGAAAGCTTAAGGGATTGAAGGACGAACATGGTGTCAAGCGGGCCCTGGACCTTGATAGCCCTGATGGAAGATCTGTAGCTTGACTGCGGTTACATGCATGATCTCGATGGTTATATAGGATTGAATCTAGCCCTTCTCTGATCAGGTGTGCTCGCGAAGCAGTGCATCACGCAGCGCCCTAAAGGATCGCGAAAGCAAGTGTTCGAAGCGATCTGTGAGCCCCACATACTGGAAGAACTTTGCTTGTATTATAGAACAGTACATGACACATTCAAGTGATATTGAAAGTGCCTGGCATCAACCTTGTGTAAGGCTGCGGCGGTATTTTACGCCAAAGTCCTGCGGAACCTTGAAATGCAGCAAGGAATCCCTTGAGCTGTACAAGTCGCCAGGTGGACGTGGCGCATCCGCACCTGCACATAGCACGGCTTGACCGCAAGTGAGCATGCCACTTGTGTGCTAGCTGAGACTTTAGGTGAGAAACTGCACAAGATGTTCAAAGAGCATGGCTCCTTCAGTATGATGGA